AAAAAAAAAAAAAAGATGTTTGGGACTTAATGTGGATTATGTCCTTCCTTTATTATTATTAATCATTAGGAGTCATCCCTTTTTTTTTCCCTTCCAAATATTTCTTTATTCGGATTAAGTGACTTCATAAATTTCACAATACTGTGTTATAGTTATACTTGGCTAAAGTCACAAATTTTGACCTTCATAATGATAATCATTATTTTTTTTAAAGCCTTGTCTTTGGGGTTCTTTCAGTCTGTATATGATTATTTTTACCAGTCCTGGGGCTTGAACTTAGGGCCTGCCTGGGCACTATACCTGAGCTTCTCTGTGCTCAAGCCTAGCGCTCTACCACTGGAGCCACAGCACCACTTCCAGCTTTTTCAGTTTATGTGGTACTGAGGAATTGAACCCAGGGCCTCATGCATGCGAGGTGAGTCCTCTACCGCTGAGCCACCTTCCCAGCCCTCTTTGCAATTTTTACCTCTTCTTCTGAGAAATCTCTTTTTAGCTCACTTGCCCATTTAGTAATTGGTTTGTTAGATTTGGGAGGGATTAGTTTCTTGAGCTCTCTGTATACCTGTTTTAATTCTTACCTTTCTTTGGTTACTCAAGTAGATTTTTTTTTTGGGTCCGGTTGTGGGGCCTGAACTCTGGGCCTGGGCGCTGTCCCTCAGCTTTTCATCTCAAGGCTAGTACTCTACCACTTGAGCCATAGTGCCACTTCCGGCTTTTTTCTTATGTGGTGCTGAGGAATCCAACCCAGGGCCTCATGCATGCAAGGCAAGCGCTCTACCACTGAGCCACCTTCCCAGCCCCTCAAGTAGATTTTCTATAAAGGGCTAGATAATAGATGTTTGGCATCTGCAGACTATGCATTCTGAAGTTATGCAACTGTTGTTGTACCATAGGTAATATGTAAATGAATGGGATTGTGTGTGTTCCACTGAAACTCTGAAACAGTAGATTTGGGGGTTTAGGTTTCTAAACCCCCACTGGTGCTTTCTGTTGAAGAAATCCATCTCTGATAGTTTTGCTCATAATTAGTAAAGAATATTACAGTGGTAATTACTCAGAGCCCTTGTTATATTTATGTTGTAACCTTTCTGTTTTTTACTCTTATATTGTTAGTACTCAAAGAGGAAGACAGATTAATGTGTGACTGTAAGTCATTGGTGGTGATAGAGGACGATTTAGTAAAATTATGACTTTCTGTTTTAATTTTAGGCATCTCTTAAAACTAAGCCTATCCACACGATCATAAGGAAACGAGCTCCTCCATGCAACAACGACTTTTGTCGTCTGGGTTGTGTATGTTCCAGTCTAGCTTTGGAGAAGCGCCAACCTGCTCATTGCCAGCGACCAGATTGCATGTTTGGCTGCACTTGTTTGAAAAGAAAAGTTGTACTTGTTAAAGGGGGATCCAAAACTAAGCATTTCCAAAGGAAGGCTTCACATCGAGATCCAGTATTTTATGATCCTCTAGAAGAGGCAAAGGAAGGAGGAGTTGGAGTTAGAGAAGAGGAAGACCAATCAAAAGAAAAGAAGAAGAGAAAAAAATTGGAATACAGTGAGTATTAAGAGTTGGTAGAAACCTGCCTAACAAGCTTGGGGCTGAATTCAAACCCAGTACTGAAGAGGGGAAAAGAAGTATGAATTATAAGCCGGGCGCTGGTGGCTCACACCTGTAATCCTAGCTACTCAGGAAGCTGAGATCTGAGGATCGCAGTTCAAAGCCAGCCCGGGCAGGAGAGACCGTGAGACTCCTATCTCCAATAAACCACCAGAAAACCGGAAGTGGCGCTGTAGCTCAAGTGGTAGAGCGCTCGCCTTGAGCTGAAGAGCTGAGGGACAGTGCCCAGACCCAGACTTCAAGCCCCATGACCGACCAAAAAAAAGAAAAAAACAAAAGTATGAATTACCATAAAAAAATTATATAAATATCTCAGTGGAAATTATTTCTTTCTTTGTGTCAGTACTCAGGGCTTTTGCTCACATTTGCTCTACCACTTGAACCACTCTCCACTTCAAGCCGTGTTTTTGGGTTAATTGAACATATGATTATGTGGTTTTGGGGCTGGGAATATGGTTTAGAGTGCTTGCTTAGCATGCATGAAGCCCTAGGTTCAGTTCTTCAGTACTACATACGCAGAAAAAGCCAGAAGTGGTGCTGTGGGTCAAGTGGTAGAGTGCTAGCCTTGAGCAAAAGAAGCTCAGGGACAGTGCCCAGGCCCTGAATTCAAGAAAAAAAAAAAAAAAGGAAAAAAAAGATTATGTGGTTTTGTTAGCTCTGTCTGCCTGAGCTGGCGCCAACAGTAATCTGTAGTTCCCAGCCTCTGAGTACTAAGATTGTAGGTGTGAGCCACTGATGCCTGACATTAGTGGAAATTTTTTAACAGCTGACAAAACCCATTCCTGGTAAAAATTCTGGGCATACTAGAAATAGAAAGGAACTTCCTCAATCTGATAGAGAATCTGTGACACACTTTACAATTGGGTATGGGTTTTCTTCATCGAAAGATTGGAAGTGAGGAAGAATAGGTGCTTTCACTACTTAGATTTAACATTACACTGAAGAGTTGGATGCAGTAACACTTCTGTAGTCCAACACACTAAAGGCTGAGCCTCAGTTGTGAACAGTCTCAGTAACATTGCCAGACACTGTCACAAAACAACAAATACACATGCATGCACATTCACAGGTTCAAGCCAATGAATACTAAGGTATGAGAAAAGGTATCTAAATTGGAAAGGATAAAGTAAAACTGGCTTTATTCATAGATAGAAAAATCCTAAAAATCTTTTTAAAAAAGTTAGTGGGACTATACATTAGTTGATGAGGTTGCAAGACACATCATCGAATATAAACAAGTGAACAGCTGGAAAATGAATAAAAATAGCATTTAAAATAACATCTATGGAAGTAGAAATGTACTTCTAGTGGTAGAGTACCACCCAGCCTTAAGCAAAAAAGCCAAGCAAGAGGGTAGACTGAGTTCAAGTTTTACTATTGGAGTGTACTTGTGTGTGTGCGCGCATGATTCGCACACAGACACACACAATAAGACATTTAAAAATTTTAAGTTTGGCCGGGCGCTGGTGGCTCACGCCTGTAATCCTAGCTACTCAGGAGGCTGAGATCTGAGGATCGCGGTTCAAAGCCAGCCCGGGCAGGAGAGACCGTGAGACTCCTATCTCCAATAAACCACCAGAAAACCGGAAGTGGCGCTGTAGCTCCAGTGGTAGAGCGCTCGCCTTGAGCTGAAGAGCTGAGGGACAGCGCCCAGGCCCAGAGTTCAAGCCCCATGACTGACCAAAAAAAAAAAAAAAAATTTTAAGTTTGACAGAAGATGCATAAGATACACTCTCTCTCTCTCTCTCTCTCTCTCTCTCTCTCTCTCTCTCAGGGTTTTATTCCTAGCTATGTTTTTTCTAGTGAATCATACTATCAGGTTGATAGGTTTTGAACAAATTTTTGGTTAATAGGTAAATAAATGAAGGTACATGAGGACAACTTAGAGGAATTTTAGGGATCATCTGTCTGATTTCTGTAAGTTACAGCCTTTTGTGAGGCAGCATACTTTGTTTTGGCATTGCTTCATTGCTGAACATCTGTTGCCAAAAGCACCTTAAAATTCTTAACCTTTTTTGTTAAGCTATATGTGAAACAGAGCCTGAGCGGCCTGTTCGACATTACCCATTGTGGGTGAAAGTAGAAGGTGAAGTTGATCCAGAGCCGGTTTATATCCCAACGCCTTCTGTCATCGAGCCTATGAAACCATTATTGATGCCTCAGCCAGAAGTACTGCCTGCTGTGAAGGGCAAACTGCTCACTGGAATTAAACCTACTCGGGCATACACTCCCAAACCCAATCCTGTGGTAAGCCTGTAGTTTCCTTTTTTTTTTTAATTACAAGTTCCAAAGGTAATTTATAAAGATGATTAATTTCAATCAGTTTCAGTTGATATTCTGGAACAATTTTTTTTTCAGGTAGTATGTCTATAAGATACCTTCTTTACTGGTTTAATCATTTTAGTTGTTGGCTCATAAAAAGTATCATAAAAGTACAGGTGAGGCTGGGAAAGTGGCTTAGTGGGAGAGTGCTTGCCTAGCATTCATGAAGCCGTGGGTTTGATTCCTCAGTACCACATACACAGAAAAAGCCGGAAGTGGTGCTATGGCTCAAGGGGTAGAGTGCTAGCCTTGAGCAAAAGCAGCTCAGGGACAGTGCCTAGGTCTTGAGTTCAAGCCCCAGGACGGGAAAAAAAAAAAAAAAGGTACATGTGAGTAACATTAGCTAACTCTTTGTAAAGCTCACAGGGATTTTTTTTTAAAACATGACTTGCAAAATGTTTTAAAGATAGTTATTAGTGCTGTTAGAATATTGGTATATAGCGCATATTATTAACAGAAAAGCAAAAGCTTCTAAAAGGATATTTTTATATACAATAATAGCAGTAAAGTTGAAGATTTAAAGTAACTGGACACTCTATGATGTGTCAGGACAGATAGTAACTCTGAAGATCCTCTACTATGGTACCTACAACTGTGTACCAGTGCTTGCCTAAAATTGTTGCTGTCTTTGATAAAGTATAGAAAATAAAAGCAACTACTTAAATGATGATTATTAACTAAAAAACTTCTTAATGCAATTATGAAAATTATGTGCTTTGGTATGATCTGACATTTCTTGAAAATTAAATTCTTTCTGATCACCAAAAGATTCAGTATATAGGAACTGTACTTGCATTATTTAATTTTAGAGCTGGCAATAAAAAATTTCCACTATTGTTCTGGAACAAAGATTAAAGCGTCCTTCTTCATTTGGAGCCTTAAACCATTCTTCGCTATTGTTATGAAATGTTATTGTATGAAACTTACAGATTCGGGAAGAGGACAAAGACCCAGTCTATTTATACTTTGAAAGTATGATGACTTGTGCCCGAGTTCGAGTATATGAACGAAAAAAAGAGGAACAGAGACAACCATCCCCATCCCTATCCCCATCTCCATCATTTCATCAACAGAGTTCGTACCAGTCTAGTCCTGAGAACCATAGCACAAAGGTGAATTACTTATTACATAATTAGCCTTTTAACTTCCAGTTCCCTATTGCTGGTATTAGAATTTGCTCTGCTATCAGAAGAATTAGTTTTCCTTAGGTTTACATGACATGTAAATCAATCTTACTTCTCTGGATATCTACTCCAGTGGTCTGTCCCTCAGTGTTACTAGATATTTTATATGTATTTTTTGGCCCTGGAGTAATAAACATCAAGCAAATACATCTGGATTTAAATTATCTGTAATTACTACAATTTCCATCTTCATGGGTGAGTTTTGTCAATAACTAAAGCTTTTCCTCCTAAACATCAATTATTCTTCCTTCTGTGTTAGACTATATCATTGTACATTGTAAATTATTTTCTTAATGATTCAGAAAGTATTAAAAACTTGGTGCACAAGACTTTTTTCTCTGGGTTGTATAACATGATAGTCATCCTGAGTATAGATGTAAAATTGCGATTACATAATCTTGTAATCCTATTTCTGTGATGCTTGTGTCTTACTATCTATAGATATTGCATATGTTGAAGTATTTCTCTGTTTATCCTCTCCTCAGGAACCTGATTCTGAACAGCAGCCCATATGTGACTTGGAGGATGAATCTGATAAATCACAAGGTCAGAATGAAAATTAAATTTTGTCATTTGTTAATAATTAATGTAGATCTGGATTATTTCATGGCAGAAACCCCAATCTACCAATCCAGGATATGCCACCTATCCTGCTTCTTTTCCAACTTTGCCAAAAATTTAGATAACTAAGCCTTTCCCCACTGTGTTAGTTTACCACTCACTTTTTTAATTTTTTGTCCTGAGGCTTGAACTCTGGGCCTGAGCACTGTCCCTGAGCTCTTCAGCTCAAGGCAAATGCTTTACCACTTGAGCCACAGCACCACTTCTGGTTTTGTAGTGGTTAATTGGAGATAAGGGTCTCATGGACTTTCCTGCCTGGTCTGGCTTTGAACCACAATCCTCAGATCTCAGCCTCCTGAGTAGCTAGGATTATAAGCGTGAGCCCCTGGTGCCAGGCCTAAAATTTATATTTCTAAAAAGAAAAAAAAAATTCACTTCGTCGTATTATATTACAACATGAGAAATTTAGGGAAGTTGTGAGTGAAATTTTTTTTAACCTATTCCAAATCTTGCAATATTGCCATCATAATCTGTTGAAACTTGCCTCATGTATTTTATACCTGCTACTACAAAGCAGAGGGAGAAAGGAAGAAACATCACTGATTTACCTAGTAGTGGCTTCTTCCAGAGTTGTTATGATGAGAGGTAGTGAGTGACTTCAACAAAGGAAGTTACCTGTTTTTTCATTATGTCTCTTATGTACCACTGGATCTTGCTAGTTGGTTAAAATAAGAGTCTCTAATTTTTTGCTCAGGATGGCCTCAAATTGAGAGCTTCCTAATCTTTGCCTCCTGAGTATCTGGGATTCAGTTAGGTGCTACCACTGGGCCTCTATTCTCTCCCTTTAGGTTTGTCTCTCTCTCTCTCTCTTTTATTTTTGTTGGTCATGGAGCTTGAACTCTGGGCCTGGGCACTGTCCCTCAGCTCTTCAGCTCAAGGCTGAAGCCTTTCCCCACTGTGTTAGTTTACCACTCACTTTTTTTTTTTTGTCCTGAGGTTTGAACTCTGGGCCTGAGCACTGTCCCTGAGCTCTTCAGCTCAAGGCAAGTGCTCTACCACTTGAGCCACAGCACCACTTCTGGTTTTGTAGTGGTTAATTGGAGATAAGGGTCTCATGGACTTTCCTGCCCGGGCTGGCTTTGAACCACGATCCTCAGATCTCAGCTTCCTGAGCAGCTAGGATTACAGGTGTGAGCCACTGGTGCCCAGCACTGTCTCTTATTGATTGATTGATTGCTGGTTGTGGGGCCTGAACTCTGGGCTGGGGCACTATTCCTCAGCTCTACAGCTTAAGGCTAGTGCCCTACCGCTTGAGCCACAGCGCCACTTCCGGCTTTTTTCTGCTTATGTGGTGCTGAGGAATTGAACCCAGGGCCTCATGCATGCAGGGCCAGCACTCTTCCACTGAGCCACCTTCTCAGCCCTGTCTCTTACGTTTTGTCTCTTATTTTCACATTTCAAGTCAACCGAATGAATCACCAGTAACCTACACCAAATGTAATAGTGATGGTCTTTAGGGCAGTGTGAAGTGGACTGATTTCCTTTTTTTATGAGAGAGTTTGGTCAGCTGGATAGTGAAAAGAATTGTCTTACTCTGTGAGAGCTTGCTTTTTCCTTTTTTTTTTGTAGAACTCCCAAATTAGGAATGTTAAACTTATTAAATTAAATGGGAATTTGACTGAGCAACTGTTGGATTTCAAAGTTCAGGATAAAACAACTATAAAGCAGAATTATCTTTGAATTTTTTTTTTTTATCAGAAAAGAGCTGGAAGTCTTCCTGCAATGAAGGGGAATCCTCTTCTACTTCCTACGTACATCAGAGGTCACCCGGTGGTCCTACCAAGCTGATAGAGATCATCTCAGATTGCAACTGGGAAGAAGACCGGAGCAAGATTTTGAGCATCTTATCCCAGCACATCAATAGCAACATGCCACAGTCACTTAAGGTGGGCAGCTTCATCATTGAGTTGGCTTCTCAGCGAAAGAGCCGGGGTGAGAAGAACCCTCCTGTTTATTCTTCTCGTGTGAAAATTTCTATGCCATCATGTCAAGATCAAGATGATATGGCTGAGAAATCTGGATCAGAGACTCCTGATGGTTCATTGTCCCCTGGGAAAGTGGATGATACCTCTCCTGTGCAGACAGATGCCCTGGATTCAGTGAGGGAGAGATTACATGGAGGCAAAGGTCTGCCTTTTTATGCAGGGCTTTCTCCTGCAGGGAAGCTTGTGGCCTATAAACGTAAAGCCAGTTCAAGCACATCTGGGCTTATCCAGGTGAGAATTATCTTTAATCTGGGTATAGCACATTTTTTTATAATTAGATAACACCTTGTGTTTTTTCAGAACCCTTTGTGGCCTTATATTAGTTGGGTAGTAAAATGATTATCCCTTTTTAAAGTATAGGTTAGATGCTTACCTAATGTGAGTTGGCACATTTACAAAGAAATACAAATACAGAGCCTTATGTTAGCTTATGTAGTTTTTCTTTTATCTTCCTAGAAAGTTGCTCTTAAATGTTACGGCTCTGGCTCTAGTAATACTTTGAGAACCAAGCAAAGAGGACCAAGGATTTACTGTAGGTATTGGTGTTTATTATTAGCAGACAACTTTCAAGACAAAACTGTTTAGAATGTTAGGGACAGAGGGAAGATGAAGTGGGTTTTGCTGTTATGAATTTTTTTTTTTTTGACTGTGGTAGGGCTTGAATTTAAAATGGGCCTGGGGGCCATCACTGAGTCTCTTTGTGCTCAAGGCTGCCTCTCTACCACTTGAGCCACAGTGCTGCTTCTGGTTTTTGAATGGTTAATGAGAGATAAGTTTCACAGGGACTTTGCTGCCCAGGCTGCCTTCAAACTTTGATCCTCAGATTTCAGCCTTTTTAGTAGCTCGGATTATAGGTGTGAGTCATGGGTGCCTGGCTTTGTTACATTTTTGAGATAGGGTCTTGCTATTTAGTCTGGGCTGTCCTAGAACTCCATATTCTCTTGCCTTCGTTTCCCTAGTGCTGAGATTACCAGTGTGTTGCCTCCATGCTTTCAAGTGACTTTAAGTTAGGCAATAAGACAACATATGCTTTAAAACTTGAATTACTTTCGTTGTTGGTTTGTTTTTTTTGGGTCCGGTCGTGGGGCCTTAACTCTGGGCTCTTCAGCTCAAGGCTAGAGCTCTACCACTTGAGCCACAGCACCACTTCCGGCTTTTTTCTTTTTGCTTATGTGGTGCTGAGGAATCGAACCCAGAGCCTCATGCATGCAAGGCAAGCGCTCTACCACTGAGCCACCTTCCTAGCCCAAAATGCGTGAATTTTTTTTTTTTTTTGTCTTTTTTTTTTTGGTCAGTCTTGGGGCTTGAACTCTGGGCCTGGGCGCTGCCTCTTAGCTCTTCAGTTCAAGGTGAGCACTCTACCGGTTTGTTTTTTTTTTTAGCAGTGATAGGAATTAAACTAAGGCCTCACACATGGTATACAAGTGCTCTACTATTGAACTATATCCCTACTGTGGGGGGAAACTGTTAATTTAGTTAGTGATTATTCAGCTACATATAATTTTTAGAAATTAAACTATAGTTCCTTAGTATTTTTTTCTTTTTGATTTGTGAGATTTGTCTGCCTGTCCATTGTTGTGTAACAGATATCTCTCTTCCTTGCTGCTGAGAAATTCATGCAGATTATATTTGTAAAACTACATTGGCACCTAGAAAGAAAGGAGAAGTTCTGACTTAAAAAATAATCATAGTCAAAAAGGTTTTCTCCTCTTGCTTAGAGATATGAAATGCATACAGACCACTTTCAGAAGTAACTTTCAAAAGAGATATAAAGAGAGCAGAGTGGTGGGATGTATTGCAGTCTGAGCTATTCAGGAGGAGGATAGAGCAGGATGATTCCTGTTTTTTTTTTTTTTTTTTGGGGTCCGGTCGTGGGGCCTGAACTCTGGGCCTGGGTGCTATCCCTCAGCTCTTCAGCTCAAGGCTAGCGCTCTACCACTTGAGCCACAGAGCCACTTCCAGCTTTTTTCTTTTTTTGCTTATGTGGTGCTGAGGAATCGAACCCAGGGCTTCATGCATGCAAGGCAAGCGCTCTACCACTGAGCCACCTTCCCAGCCCAGAGCAGGATGATTCTTGAGCCAGTTTTAGGCTAGCCTGAGCTAAACAGTGTTGAGGGGGATAAGAAACAAAAGAAAAAGATCTGAAGAGAACTCTGCTTATTTCATAGTCTCATTGCAGTTGAGCATGACTCAGTCATAAAATCTATGCTATGCAAATGGTCTTGTCTTAGCAGTTTCTTGGCTTCCCTGCAGACCCAACTTCCTATTCAAAGCCCTCAAAGCCTGACCAATGGTGTCTGACTTGAACAAAGAGCTGGTTTTTACTGTGTTCCCCATCAATCACTGGTACATTAAAGGCAAATTACCATCCTCTTGGGAAAGAGTGATGCATTTATCTGTTTGGTGTGTTGGAGAAAATAAGGTGGTTTTTTTTTTTTTTTAATCTGTCCTGGGGTTTGAACTGGTCCTCGGTGCTGTCCCTTAGCTCTTCAGCTCTAGACAAACATTCTACCACTTGAGCCACAACTCCACATCCAGTTTTCTGGTGGTTAATTGGCGATAAGAGTCTCATAGACTTTCCTGCCTGGGCTGGCTTTGAACTGTGATCCTCAGATCTCAGCCTCCTGAGTTAGCTAGGATTACAGCTTTGTCACTTTTTTAAAAAAGGAAATGAAAGCAAGAACGGAATGTAGCTTGCATAAATAATCGGACGGCTAATTAATACAAAAATCTGAAAATTTGAAATGTTCTAAAATCCAGAAGTTTTTGAGAACTGATATGGCATCATGTTTAGAAAATTGCACACTTGACCAACACAAGTGATGGGTTGAGGTTAAAATGTACTGTAGAAAATTATCTTCATACATTATATATATGTATGTATAGCTGCATATATATCTACATACACACACACACACATACACATACATCTACATATTTTAAAAGTATAGTAAAGCTTTTGGAAACTTTTCTGGGGGGAGGGTGTTGTTGCTAGGGCTTGAACTTAGGGGCTTTATTCTTTTATGCTCTTGGCTTTTTCACTCAAGGCTGGTACTCTGTCACTTGAGCCACCTCTCTACTTCTGACTTTTTAAAAGCTAGTTGATTGGAGATGAGTCTCACAAAGATTTCTGCTTAGGCTGGTTTCAAGCTTCAGTCCTTAGAGCTCAGTCTCCTGAATAGTTAGGATTGCTGGTGTGACCCACCAGCTCTCCCTGGTTTATCGTTTCAAACTTGAGGCAGATATATTCTTGATCATTTTGTAAGTAGCAAAGAGTAATTTTGTATTTTTGCACATGGAGTGAATTTCTATAGCTGTTCTTACTAGTTCTCTTAGTTCTAATTTAGAAGTGAACTTCTCTTTTAATGCTGTTTTTTTTTTTTTTTTTTTAAATGGGACTGGGTTTGAACTCAGGACCTAACAACATGAGCTACACCCTGGCTCTTAAACTCTACTTTTAAATAATGAAATTGGGTTACCTTTTCTATAGTCATTCAGCAATATGACCTCAAGGAAATTTTGTTTTCTTCTATGGAAAACAAAAATCTATGCTGTTGCCCAAGATAGGCAATGCAGTCAACTTAGGCGGCAAAGACAATGTATATTTCGTTTGTTGGTTTCATTTTCTTTTGACAGTTTAGTGACTGTGTCTAGAATTACCCTGCTTATACAGTTATTTTGAGCCCATCTCTTGTCTAACATGTGAAGACAGTATCTTGAAAGTTGTTCCGTTGTTGTTTTGTTTAGTGCAGGTCCTGGGGCTTGAACTCGAGCCTTGGGTGCTGTTCCCTAGCTTTTTTGCTCAAAGCTGATGCTTTGCCATTTGAGTCACAGCTTCACTTCTGGATTTTTGCTGGTTAATTGGAGATAAGGGTCTTACAGATTTTTCTGTCCAGGCTCTATCTAAACTGTGGTCCTTAGATCTCAGGGTCCTGAGTAGCTGGATTACAGGTGTGAGCCACAGATGTCCAGCTTGTGTTGTCTGGTCAGAGACATTCTATGGAATATATTCACCCAACTTTGCTGATACTTTATTTCATTGCTATTAATAATGCAACTGAAATTAACATAAAACAGTTGTATGATTCTTTGGGCACAGTCATGTGTCTCATATCACTAGGATGCAGAAATTAAGTTTCTAAGATTCTGTTCCCAAACTCTAAAATAAAGGAGCTCAGACTAGTTCAGAATATCAGATAGCATTTTTCACCTTTCAAGTACTCAGATTATCCTGAGTAAAACAAGTCTACTTCTTTTTCCTTTTTACACCTGAAAAATAGGCTTTTAAAACCTTGTAGAAATGAAACCCCTGTCAAGGGAGAAGGAGTTAAGTTAGCAAGAGAATTTTATCTTTACAGAATTTCTCTTTGCCACTTGTTTCAGGTTAATGGTAAGAATTACCCGCAGGCTAAGTTGCTATTGGGACAGATGGGGGCATTGCATCCAGCCAATAGGCTAGCTGCTTATATCACAGGCAGGTTGCGACCCTCAGTCCTGGACCTCTCAACCCTCAGTACTGTCATCTCCAAGGTAGCATCCAATGCCAAGGTGGCTGTATCCAGGAAACCACGTACCCTGTTGCCTTCAACGTCCAATTCCAAAATGGCATCCTCTGGCACGACAGCACATCGCTCTGGGAAGAATCCAAAGGCGTTTGTTCCTGCAAAAAGGCCAATTGGTAAGTTGGAGAGGATACCTGTTTTGGAAAGAGCTGTGACTTAAGTTCTTGGCCAGTGATTCCAGGTATAAGGTTGTAAGAATTTGGCATAATAACAATGTTGTTTGTCTTGAATATTGACTTTTCTTATCTTTTGATGACCTATAATACTGAAGGAATTGAACTCGTTTCATGATATTTTTGAGACTGGCTATATTAATGCAGAAATGACTTAGGATTTCAATTTAGTTTTAAAAAGGGGAAATATGTTTTATAATACTTTTTGTCAAGCCAGGCGCTGGTGGCTAACACCAGTAATCCTAGCTGAGATCTGAGGATTGTGGTTCAAAGCCAGTCTGAGCAGGAAAGTCTGTGAGACTCTTCTCTTCAATTAACCACCAGAAAACTAGAATGGCTCTGTGACTCAAAGTGGTAGAGGGATAATCTTGAGCAAAAGAACTCAGGGACAGCGCTCAAGTCTCCAAGTTCAGCCCCATGACTGACAAAAAAAAATTGTTGAACTTTCCATATGAAAACTGGGGGTTTGTGTACTAGTTACCTGCATTTTCCTTGAATTGTTGAATCCAAGAAACTAGCAAAAGGTAATGGAGTTGGGTTAGTGTTGACTTGGAGTAGAAGGTTCTGCCTGGTGCTGGTGGCTCATGCCTCTAATCCTAACTACTCAGGAGGCTGAGATCTGAGGATTGCGGTTCAAAGCAACCCTGGCAGGAAAGTGTAAGACTCTTCCCTCCACATAACTACCAGAAAACCAGAATTGACACTGTGGTTCAAAGTGTTAGAGTGCTAGTCTTGAGCAAAAAGAACTTAGGGACAGCACCCAGTCCCTGAGTTCAAGCCCCATAATCATCATCACCACTACCACCACCACCAACCAAATAGTAGGTTCCTGTAAAACATAATTTTCAAAATAGTGAATTACTCTATACAACCCTGTTGTGTGAATGAAAACCTTTGTTTTGCTTAATGTTTTTGTGCTACTCTGTAATAAATCGCATTCTTTAAGCATTTTTGTTTTAGCCTGAAAAGTATGTACAGTTGGCTTATTGAATTCCTTTTTTGATGTGTTTCAAGTGTATTTAGGAATGTTATGTAAAACTACCCATTTGTCTTCATTCTTACTCCTTTAACAGGAGAATAAGGTGGCTGATGGCTTGAGTTGTGTAGAGAATAGGCCTAATCTGACTTAAAGAATATATTTTGCAGCTTTTGTTGTGATTTAAAACAGCGGAGAAAGCAGCAATGTCCTGCCTTCTGTTGTGAAGTATTTTTTCTATTTTAGGAATGTGTAGTACTTAATTATCTCATAAAAGGGCAACTATAAAGAGGTGGAAGTGCTGAGACTTAGAGGAAATGATGGAAACAGTTTTGAGAGTTTTTTTTTGTTTTTGTTTTTGGCCTTGGGGTTTGAATTCTGGGCCTAGGCGCTGTCCCTCAGCTCTATAGCTCAAGGCTAGTGCTCTACCACTTGAGCTATAGTGTCACTTCTGGTTTTCTGGTAGTTTATTGGAGATAAGAGTCTCACACGGACTTTCCTGCCCCAGCTGGCTTTGAACTGTGATCCTCAGATCTCAGCTTCTTGAGTAAGCTGCTGGCTTTGAACTGCAATCCTCAGATCTCAGCCTCTGAGTAGCTAGGATTACAGGTGTGAGCCACCAATGCCTAGCTGGAGGGGGGTGTCAGTCATGGGGCTTGAACTCGGACTGGGCGCTGTCCCTCAGCTCAAGGCTAGCACTCTACCACTTGAGCCATAGCGCCATTTCTGGCTTTTTTACTTATGTGGTGCTGAGGAATTGAACCTAGGGCCTCATGCATGTGAGGCAAGCACTACCACTGAGCCACCGCCCAGCACTGGAAATAGTTTTAAAGTTAGAATTAGGGGCTGGAAGTATGACTCAAGTGGTAGAGCACTTGCCTAGCAAGCATAAGGCCCTGAGTTCAAACAACAATACTGTTAAAATTAAAGGAAAAATAAGTATTCTTTCCTTCATCAATTTTAAGTAATGAAAGTTTTCTTTTTTTTTTTTTTTTGTCGGCCGTGCGGCTTGAACTCTGGTCCTGGGTGCTGTCCCTCAGCTCAAGGCGAGCACTCGACCACTTGAGCTACAGCACCACTTCCAGTTTTCTGGTGGTTTATTGGAGATAGGAGTCTCACAGTCTCTCCTGTCTGGGCTGGCTTTGAACTGCGATCCTCAGATCTCAGCCTCCTGAGTAGCTAGGATTACAGGCATGAGCCACCAGTGCCCGGCATGAAACAGTTTTCTGTTTTGTTTTTTCTTTTTCGTGTTCTAACATGTTGAATATATTGTATAAAAAATTTTAGGGGCTAGGAAGGTGACTCAGTGGTAGAGCACTTGCCTTGCATGCTTGAGGCCCTGGGTTCGATTCCTCAGCACCACATAAGAAAAAAGCTGGAAGTGGCGCTGTGGCTCAAGTGGTAGAGTGCTAGCCTTGAGCTGAAGAGCTGAGGGACAGCACCCAGGCCCACAGTTCAGGCCCCATGACCGGACCCCCCCCCAAAAAAAAAAAAAAAAAAGAAAGTATAAGGGTTTGCTTTGCAATTGTGGGTAGAAATTGGTAAGGAACATCATGAAAGAGAAATTGACCCAGTAGTATGTTGGTTAATGTCGTAATATAAACACAGGCATTAAAAGGGTAAACTAGAGATATGAGATATTTAACCTGCAAATTTTTATTTGCAGCGGCTCGACCCTCTCCTGGTGGTGTGTTCACACAGTTTGTGATGAGTAAAGTTGGAGCCTTGCAGCAGAAGATACCTGGAGTTAGCACACCTCAACCTCTGACAGGGCCACAGAAGTTTAGTATCAAACCTTCTCCAGTAATGGTTGTCACACCTGTGGTTTCTTCTGAGCCCGTTCAGGTGTCCAGTTCTGTGACTGCGACTGTCACTACTACCACCCCTCAAGTGTTTGTAGAAAATGTTACAGCTGTGACATCAGTGACAGCTGTGTCTGATGGGGGAGCTAAAGAAACTACTTGTTCTTCTGGTGCAACCAGTACTGGGGTTGTTGAGATCTCTGACACTTCCAACATCCCTGTAACATCTGCCCAGCCTACAGCCACTGTGAACCTTGTCAAAACTACTGGAATAACTACTCCTGTGGCTTCAGTGGCTATTACTAAATCTTTGGTAGCATCTCCTCCAACCATAACTCTTCCTGTTGCTTCCACTGCCTCCACCTCCATAGTCATGGTGACCACAGCTACATCTTCCTCCATGGTGACCACACCAACTTCATCTCTGGGCTCTGTTCCAGTTATTCTCTCAGGAATTAATGGGAGTCCACCAGTGAGCCAGAGACCAGGTAAGGCTGAGTTGTTATCAGTTGCTTTACTGAACAGTTAATTTTATACACACAAACACTAGGGTAACCATGTGTTTGTTTATGTTGTAATGTTATATTCCTCAAAACCTTTGCATTCTGCAGAATAGAACTCAAAATCTAGACAGGAAACCACAACATACAAAAAAACTTGAATTTTTAGGAGATAGATCTGATAGAGGTTTCCTTAGGAGACAGTAAAACACTCAAAAAATGCTAGAGTGGAAATACTGGCTGAAGAACCCTGAAGTAATGAAAATGGGAGTAGAGTTCTGAGCCATTAGAATAACTACTAAGATGGAGAGATAACAGGAAGTATGACTTGCTTTGTGTGATGAGCCAGGGTAAACATCTCAAAGGAGGGAACTCGTGCAGATGTTACATTGGGGGAGGTATGTATGTGTATAACTCATTAAAAAAAAGTAAAAGCCAGGTGCTGATGGCTCACACCTGTAATCTTAGCTACTCAGGTTGAGATCCGAGGATCACGGTTCAAAGCCAGTATGTTGGTGAGACTTATCTCCAGTTAACCACAAGAAAACTGGAAGTCAAAGTAATAGAGTGCTGGCCTTGAGCAAAAGAGCTCAGGGACATTGCCCAGCCCCATAGACAACAACAACAACAAAAAAAAAAGAGTAAGATGAGGAAGTGGTGCGGTGGCTCAAGTAGTAGAGCACTTACCTTGAGCAAAAGAAGCTCATAAACAGTGCCGAGGCCCAGAGTTCAAGCCCCAGGAATAGCAAAAAACCAAACCAAAACAAAAGAAAACCCCATGTTTCAGCTGGGAATGTGGCTTAGTGATAGAGCGCTTGCCTCGCATGCATGAAGCCCTGAGTTTGATTCCTTAGTACTACATAAACAGAAAAGCCAGAAGTGGCACTGTGGCTCAAGTGGTAGAGGGCTAGCCTTGAACAAAAGAAGCTCAGGGATGGTGTTCTGGGGCTTGTACTCAGGGCCTGAGTTCAAGCCCCAGAACTGGCGGCAAAAAAAAAAAAAAAAAAAAAAAGTAGGATGAGAGAGTTTTTCTGACTATGCTGCAGCCAGGCTAAGAGCATTTTATTTTCTCTTGCTAAAGGTTCAAATATTGTTATTCTAACTTCACTTAACTAGCAAAAATTGTTCATGAATAGCCATACTTACTACAATACATGAACTTGTTGAAATAGAAATAAAAAGGCATACTTCACTGTTGATGTTTATGTCTTATCAACTTTTAGGTAAATGTAGAAGTTTTCTCTTGGGTTTAGGGATGGGAGCTATTTTCTCCCAACATCTATTTGAATATTTACATTATTTGGAGTCTTACAAAAATATCAATGCAGATATATCGTATATGTGTGTTTGTCCTGTCACAAACCCAAATGATTTTGAGAAGCTTATATGACTCATGGGTAAGACAGGCCTCACCTCTGGTACCTTATGTTAGATGAATTTTAAGACTTACCTATTCTTTTTGGGGGGTGGGGGTCGGGTGGGGGTGTCAAGGCCAGCGCTCTACCATTTGAGCCACAGCACCAAGGTGGTTTATTGGAGATAGGTGTATCATAGACTTTCCTGCCTGGACTGGCTTTGAACCACAATCCTCACATCTCAGCCTTCCGAGTAGTTAGGATTACAGGCGTGAGCTACTGGCGCCTGGCTTGGTTAAATTTTTTTTATATCCAATTGCACCTAAGTGTAATGTAAATGATTTAGTCCATCTACTAAATGTGCAGAAAAGGTGAAAGGCAGCCTGGGTATTGGAGGTTCATGCCTGTAATGTTGACTGAGATCTAAGGATTGTGGTTTGGAACTAGCCTTTTCAGAAAAGTTAGTGAGGCTTTGATTAACCTCCTCAAAAGCTGGAAGTGGTTTTGAGCTGTGGTTCAAGTGGTAGAATACCACCTTTGAGTGGAAAAGGTAAGCACTCAGGCCCTGAATCCAGCCCCACCACTGCACCAAAAAGAGGGGGGTGGGGGAAAAAGTTAAAAACTGAAAGATTTCAGGGAGGCTTGAACTCAGGGTTTGGGTGCTGTCCCTGACCCCTTTTTGCTCAAGGCTGGGGCTCTACCACTTGAGCCATAGCTCCATCTCTGGCTTTTTCTGTGATTAGTCAGATAGAAGAATCTCATGCACTTTCCTGCGTGGGCTGGCTTTGAACTGCGATCCTCAGATATGTCAGTCTCCTAAGAAGCTAGGATGACAGTGTGAGCTACCAGCCCCTAATTCTTTAATTTCTTTTATTTTAATTTACATCTTGTGCTTTAATTCTTGCTGGTTTTTTGTTTGTTTTTGGTCTGGTCCTGGGGCTTGAATTCTGGCCTGGGCGCTATCCCTGAGCTCCTTTTGATCAAAGCTAACATTCTACCACTTGAGCCACAGTAGCTCCATTTCCTTCCACTTTTTCTATTGGTTTAAAAAATTTTGTGGGCTGGGAAGGTGGCTCAGTGGTAGAGTTCTCGCCTTGCATGCATGAGGCCCTGGGTTCGATTCCTCAGCACCACAGAAGCAGAAAAAAAAAGCCAGAAGTGGCGCTGTGGCTTAAGTGGTAGAGCGCTAGCCTTGAGCTGAAGAGCTGAGGGACAGCACCCACGCCCAGAGTTCAGGCCCCACAACCGGAACTCCCCCCTCAAAAAAAAAAACTTTTGTGTCTTCCACAATTAAACTTTGTTTTCTTGCTTCTTTACTGTTTCTTTTTCTTTTCTTTTTTTTGCCAGTCCTGGGGCTTGAACTCAGGGCCTAAGCACTGTCCCTAAAGTTTGCTTCAGGCTATCATATCACTCTACCACTTGAGCCACAGCACCACTTCTGGCTTTTTCTGTTTATATGGTGCTGAGAAATTGATCCCAGGGTTCATGCATGCTAGGCAAGCACTCCACCACTAAGCCACATTCCCAGCCCACTGTTTCTTAATATATCATGTAGGGGGCTGGGAAGGTGGCTCAGTGGTAGAGCGCTTGCCTTGCATGCCTGAGGCCCTGGGTTCGATTCCTCAGCACCATATAAGCAAAAAGAAAAAAGCTGTGGCTCAAGTGGTAGAACGCTAGCCTTGAGCTGAAGAGCTGAGGGACAGCGCCCAGACCCACAGTTCAGGCCCCACGACCGGACCAAAAAAAAAAAAAAAATGTAGGGAACACTATATATTTTTGTTCAATTTATCTCGTTACAATTGATGTTTTCTTTTTTACTTTTCTTAGTTTTGGTCAGTCTTAGGGCTTAAACTCAGGGTTGGTGCTGTCCTGGAGCTATTATTACTATTATTATCATCATCAGCATCATTATTATTTTTATAAAGGTGATCTGTAGAGGGGTTACGATTACTTGAGTCAGGTAATGAGTACATTTCCTTTTGTACCATGTCTTCCCTTCCCTCACTTGTCCCTGAGCTTTTTTTTTTTTTAAATTTAATTTTATTTTATTTGTGAACATACTGTATAGAGGGGTTACAATTGCATGGGCAGGATAATGCGTACATTTCTTACCAAGCATTGCAGCCTCCTCCTTTGTTTACCCTTCACTTCACTTCCCAGCCTCCCCCCTCCCCCCCCATCCCTGAGCTTTTTTATTCAATACTAGTAATCTGTCACTTTGAGTTATATTCTGGTTTTCTGGTGGTGAGTTGGAGGTAAGAGTCTCATGGACTTTACTGTGTTAATTTTCTTTCTTTCTTTCCCCCCTCCCCGCCCCCAGCCCTGAGGCTTGAACTCAGGACCTGGGCACTGACTCTGAACTACTTTTGCTCAAGGCTAGCACTCTACCACTTGAGCTACAGTGCCACTTCTGGCCTTTTCAGTTTATATGGTACTGAGGAATTGAAGTCAAGGGCTTCATGCATGTGAGGCAAGCACGATACCACTAAGCCACATTCCTAGCCAGTCTGGGCTAGTTTTGAACTGCGATGCTCAGATTTCAAACTTTTGAATAGCTAGCATTACAGGCATGAGCCACCAACTCCCAACTGGTTTGTTTTGTTTTACTATTCCTTTTTTTTTTTTTGTCGTGGGGCTTGAACTCTGGGTTGGGTGCTGTCCTTGTGCTCTTCAGCTCAAGGCAAGCGCTCTACCCTTGAGCCACAGCACCACTTCCGGTTTTCTAGAGGATTATTGGGGATAAGAGTCTCACGAGCTTTCCTGCCCAGGCTGGCTTTGAACGGCGATCCTCAGATCTCAGCCTCCTGAGTAGCTAGGATTACAGGCGTGAGCCACCAGTGCCCAGCTTTGTTTTACTATTCTTAATAGAAAGATCTATAATATCTGGCCAGTTATTTGGTTTTAAAATTTTCTTGGCCATAAATACAAAAGGACAGGATTCCATCAACTTCATAATAAATTAGAAGCTACTTTATTGTCAAATCTTATGCCATATTTTTCTTTATATGTGTTAAACGGGAGTTCTCATAGTATGTTTCATTTTCTGTGTTTCAGAAAATACAACTCAAATTCCAGTGGCTAATCCACAGATCTCTCCTAACCAAGTGAAGCGCACTGGTCCTCGATTGTTGTTGATCCCAGTTCAGCAGGGCTCTCCGACCCTTAGACCTGCCCCAAGCCCACAACTTCAGGGACAACGGATGGTCTTACAGCCTGTTAGGAGTCCAAGTGGAATGAACTTATTCAGGCACCCCAATGGGCAGATTGTCCAGCTCCTTCCTTTGCATCAGATTCGAGGCTCTAACACCCAGCCCAACTTACAACCTGTCATGTTTCGCAACCCAGGTATAAAGTTGGAGATCTTTCTAATTAGCTTTTCTTTTGTTGAAGTAGTTGGCTCTATAGTATGTTGAGCCATCAGAATTAAGACTCTTAAGAGTCACTTTTCCAAAAACAGTAGCATACTTTAGAAAAGTCTTGATATTGCCAGTGATGATTTAAAATTTTCCTTTTCTCACCAGGGTCTGTGATGGGAATCCGGTTACCAGCTCCTTCCAAACCTTCTGAGACTCCATCATCTTCCGCTTCATCCTCTGCTTTCTCTGTCATGAGTCCTGTAATTCAGGCTGTTGGATCTCCTCCAGCAGTGAATGTTATCACTCAGGCCCCATCATTGCTTTCCTCTGGACCGGGCTTTGTCTCTCAGGCTGGTACATTGACCCTGAGGATTTCTCCTCCTGAACCACAAAGCTTTGCAAATAAAACCAGCTCCGAAACCAAAATTACCTATAGCTCAGGAGGGCAGCCTGTTGGTACAGCCAGTCTTATTCCCCTCCAGTCTGGTAGTTTTGCCTTATTGCAGCTGCCAGGGCAAAAGCCTGTTCCTAATTCCGTTCTTCAGCATGTTGCTTCCCTTCAGATAAAGAAGGAATCCCAGAATGCAGATGAGAAAAGTGAAACAGACTCTACAAAGCAGGAAACTCAGCAGGCACTGCATTCAAAAGGAGAAGCTCTAGACCCTGAGGCTAATATAATTAAGCAAAACTCAGGAACTCTTACCTCAGAAGAAACCCTGAATCATTCTTTGGAAGATGGGGGGGATCCCTTGGATGAAACGTCTCTTACAGAAGATGATTCTGCAACTGTGAAACCTGACCACTCCTGTGTTACTGAGTTCCAAACTGGCAAAGACTCTGTAGATAATCATGAAGAATGTGGGGCTAGAAATAACAGTTCCAAAGAAAATCAGAGTGCCCTGAAAGTTAAGACTATTTCTGAAAATAACAGTAATACAACAGCCCAAAATGTAAGTAAAGTGCAGCTTCAGAGACTTGGTGATGTGACAGTGCAACAGCAAAAAGAATCAGACAATTCAGAGGAAAAGCCAAGTAGGTGTCTTGTCATCTCTAAGGAAGAAGGTAAACTGGAATTGCCAGGGAGCAAAGTTACAGAGCCGCAGTCTGATATGCATCTGGAGTCCAAGAAGGAATGTGGAGATGCTCTGGGGAAGGACAGTATTAGGGAGAGATGGCGCAAACATCTGAAGGGCCCCTTAACCCGGAAATGTATTGGAGCATCTCAAGAATGTAAGAAGGAGGCAAGCAAGCAGTTAATTAGAGAAAAAGAGAGATGTAAAGAAAATTCAGACACATTTCAAGAAGAACAGGACATCTTTGATGTACTTGGAGAAAGTGGAACAGCTGACGGTGACAGAGTTTTAAAAACTGACTGTGATTCTTGGAGTAGGATTTCTAGTCCTACAGCCTTCTCTGTTGTTCCTAGGAGGGCTACGAAAGGAAGCAGAGGGAATGGCCATCTTCAGGGTCATTTACTACTAACAGGAGAACGCATACAATCTAAGCAAGAAAAGGATGGGAGAGCCAGTGCTGACTTCACTGTTTTGGATATGGAAGAGGAAGATGAGGAAGATGAGAATGAGAAAACCGATGATTCTGTTGATGACATTGTGGATGTTGTTTCTGGCTACCAGAGTGAGGAGGTTGATGATGTAGAAAAGGTGGTGAGCCCATTTTTGTTGTGACTGAAACATCAGGGACATAAATGATCTATTAGAGACAGTAGATTTTCCAGAAGATCACTAAGACCTCATATCTATATTTGGATTGGTAGGATTAGATGATTAGTCATGATTAGTAACTACTTTTTAGCATTTATCATAGGCAATGTTCTTTGAGGGGTTGTCTGTTATTACATAGTGAGGGTGGCTTGAATCTTTTTTTTTTTTTTTGTGGGTCGTGGGCCTGAGCACTGTCCCTCAGCTCTTCAGCTCAAGGCTAATGCTCTACCACTTGAGCTACAGCACCACTTCCAGTTTTCTGGTGGTTTATTGGAGATAAGATTTTCACCGACTTTCCTGCCCAGGCTGGCTTTGAACTGCGATCCTCAGATCTTAGCCTCCTGAGTAGCTAGGCGAGAGCCACCTGCGCCTGGCTAAATCTTTATGGTATAGATACTTGAGAGTTCCTATCAACTTGGGCTTAAAAAAAGTTGTCTTGAAACCACCACACTTGTTTGATCTTTGTAGTTTCTGTGACATTTTCTCTGTAGACTGATTGTATGTTATCTGGTAGGGGTAATAACTGAATGAGTGACCTGAGAACTAAAAGAGAACCCAGGGGTTTTTTTGTCTTCCCTTCCCTTTTTTTTCTTTTTCTTTTGGGGGGAGGGGAGGTGGCTTGTGTATGCCAGTCCTAGGCCTTGAACTCAGAGCTTTGGTGCTGTCCCTGAGCTTTGTGCTCAAGGCTAGAACTTGATCACTTGAGCTAAAACTCTACTTCCAGCTTTTTGTGGAAAGTTGAGATGAGTCCCATGGACTTTTCTGACTGGTCTGGCTTTAAACTATAATCCTTAGATCTCAGCCTTCTGAGTAGCTAGGATTACAGGTGTGAGCCACTGGTGTCAGACTCTAGTATAATTCTTAAGTTGCGGGGCTGGGAAGGTGGCTCAGTGGTAGAGCACTTGCCTTGCACGCTCGAGGCCCTGGGTTCGATTCCTCAGCACCACATAAGCAGAAAGAATAAAAGCCGGAAGTGGCGCTGTGGCTCAAGTGGTAGAGCGCTAGCCTTGAGCTGAAGAGCTGAGGGACAGCGCCCAGGCCCAGAGTTCAGGCCCCAAGACCCGACAAAAAAAAACAAAAAAAATTTCTTAAGTTGCTTTTAATTTAGTGTTTATAATTAAGCATTTTGTCTCTGGAAGTTTCATATATCAGGCTTCAATCATTGTATATATTTTTTTTTTTATCGGTCGTGGGGCTTGAACTCTGGGCCTGGGCGCTGTCCCTCAGCTCTTCAGCTCAAGGCTAGCGCTCTACCACTTGAGCCAGAGTGCCACTACCGGCTTTTTTCTTATGTGGTGCTGAGGAATCGAACCCAGGGCCTCGTGCATGCAAGACAAGCGCTCTACCACTGAGCCACCTTCCCAGCCCAATCATTGTATTTTGTAATATGACCTTCATCGTTTAAATAATTTGCCAGGTACCTGAGAGGCATTATAGAGGTTCAGAATTGGATGGACTTTTTTTTTTTTTTTGCAAAAGGACTAGACAGTAAATAGACTTTGTAGGGTAGGTAGATGACTTAACTAGTTCTGCATTGTGCAAACAGCCACAAACAATATACAAGTGAATGAGTATGGCAGTATTCCAATAAAACTTCATAAAAACTGGTGGCAGGGTCTGGTGTAAAACAAGGAGACAATAGCCAGGGGCCTTGGGGTACACACAGTTCATACTGTATGACTTTCTTAGGGAGCAAGTGACATACTCCTCTATATTTTAGAATCTCCTTCCCTGAGGTATATTCATGTGTTAACTTGTTCTCCTTTGTTAATACTTAATGTCTTATACAGAGAAAATATAAAAAAGGGTTATTAGTGTAAAACTCAATATTTTATTTATTTTTATTTTATTTTATAAATTTTATTTATTTTTTTGGGTCAGTCATGGGACCTGAACTCTGGGCTTGGGCGCTGTCCTTGCGCTCTTTAGCTCAAGGTGAGCGCTCTACTGCTTGAGTCAGAGTACCACTTCTGTTTTCTAGTGGTTTATTGGAGATAAGAGTCTCATGGACTTTTCTGCCCAAGCTGGCTTTGAACCTCGATGCTCAGATCTCAGCCTCCTGAGTAACTAGGATTACAGGTGTGAGCCACCGTCGCCCGGCTGTTTAAATATTTTAAAGTTACTTCTATAACTCATTTATAAAGAAGAATCTAGCTGGGGATGATTATAATCATTTGCCTTATATTTTCTCTGTAGCCTAATCATTTTCAGGGACAGGTATCTAAGAACTGTGCCTTTTTGTAGTCTCATCAGTTCAATTAAACATCAGAACAAAAACAGTCCAACCTTACAGCCAGTGAAAAGTATTTCTTTTTTTTTTTTTTTTTTCAGGTAAGGGGTAGGTTTATTCAGTAGACCTGCTGGGACCAGGCAAGGTTGGCACTCCACGTGGCTGGGAAAGAGAGAAAAGAGCTAGAAAAGAGCAGCGAGACAGAGCCTCTGGGCCTGGGCTAGGCCTTATCTAGGGTATGGGCAGAGAAAGGTGTGGCCACATCGAATTCAGATGTGACCTCAGCGGATGCGGATGTGACCTCTTCCAGGTGTCCCAGTTGCCTAGGTAACGCAGGTACTGGGTGGGGCCTTTGCTGCGAGGAGGGTGGAGTCTGCCATCCAGGAGCGGACCTTACATTCCAGCCTTTTAATAATCATGAAATAGGGCGCGGATTCTCTCTGGCTACTTCCTGCTGACAAGGGGCGTCGACAATAGGGGTAAAAGGCTGGAATTTGGTCTCCTCCCAGAGAAGGCAGTGAGCAGCAGCTGTCCCTTGGTGGATTGAGTCCTTAGATGAAGTCTGGAGAAGTCTCATGAGCATTGAGGGGCTGGAAAAAAAATACTAGAGAGCAAATAAATGGCAAGAGGAAGGACTTGGGGCTGAAAATGTTGGTAGAAATGTCTCTAGCTACTTCTGACATCTGGCTACTAGGTAGAGAAATCAGGTGACAAAGGCAAGAATATAAATTCCTGTTCAGTTAATAGGTAGACAGGTATAGACATTGGATGGGCAGGGTTTTTACTTCCACTGACCTCCCGGCTCTGGTTAATTTTGAAAGGGCAGGCACAAAGTAGCTGATGTGACATCATCTCTTACTCCTCTCTCCATGTTCCCTTCTTCCCCAGACTGGCTGAGTCTAGGTGCTCGTTGCTGGGATGGCTTGTCCCAGTTGGTATTCAAGGAGGATTGAACTCAAGGCCTGGGCACTGTCTCTGAGCCCTTCTGCTCAAGGCTAGTGCTCTACCACGCTGAGTTACAATAGCACTTCCAGTGTTTGGCTGGTTAGAGATAAGAGTCTTGAGCCATGCTTCCAGCCTGGCTCTTTGCAGGTTAGTTGGGAGATGGAGTCTTAGGTATTTTTCAGCCCGGGCTGGCTTTGAACTGAAATCTTTGCCACAAAAGCCCAATTGACCGACAAATATTCTGAAATGACAAAACTCATTAGGTGTGATGAGAATTTTAGCACAGATATGCCCAGTATTTTAGAACCATGTAGTCAGTAGACTCTTAGGGATTTTGGTTTTTAAAAAGAGGTAGCCGAGTAAGATCAGCAGCACTTACTTGGTATTCAGGTAAGGGTTAGGTTTATTCAGTAGACCTGCTGGAACCAGGCAAGGTTGGCACTCCACGTGGCTGGGAAAGGCCTGGGAAAGAGAGCTGGGAAAGAGAGAGAAAAGAGCTAGAAAAGAGCAGAGAGAGCTAGAAAAGAGCAGCAAGACAGCGTGAAAAGTATTTCTATCAGTGACTAATAGACCTTTAGGATTACAAGAAGATGTTGAGAGAATGTAGTTACAAAATCTGACAAGCCATACTGACACTTAAAGGGACAACATCATGTTACATAATCTCTAAAATTCTATGTACATGGCCCTCGCCTAAATTATCTTTATAATTGTTACTAGCTTTATGTTGGAATGCCATAAGAAAAGTTGTGACTAAAGCGGGGTGCTGGTGGCTCACACCTGTAATCCTAGTAGCTGTTCAGGAGGCTGGGATCTGAGGATCATGGTTCAAAGCCAGCTCAGGCAGGAAAGTCTGTGAGACTCTATCTCCAATAAGCCACTAGAAAGTGGCGCTGTGGCTAAAGTGGTAGAGCACTCGCCTTGAGCTGAAGAGCTGAGGGACAGCGCCCAAGCCCAGAGTTCAAGCCCCACAACTGACCAAAAAAAAAAAATTATGACTAGCCTCTTTAAAAATGTAAAGTTTCTATTGTGAAAGTTGTTGTTGGATGTTATTTACAAATAATAAAACAATGTAGTAGTGGGGTATGGTGGTAAGCCCAGCATTTGGGTGGCTGAGGCAGGAGGATCTCAAGTTCTAGGCTACCTATGTAATGAGACCTTGATGCAAAAAAAAGAACAAACCAGGGCTAGAGCTGTGGCTCAAATAATAGAGCACACCTACCTAGCAAATGCAAAAATCTGAATTCAAGACCTAGTACTGTCAAGAAATGAAAATAAAAAGTAAAACCCCAAACAGTAAACAACAGAATCTGTACAATAGGTCATCAGTCTTCAGTCAATATTGTAAAGTACATATTAAATACTTTATAAGGGCTGGGAAGGTGGCTAAGTGGTAGAGTGCTTGCCTTGCGTGCCTGGGGCCCTGGGTTCGATTCCTTAGCACCACATAAGCAAAAAGAAAAAAGCCGGAAGTGGCACTGTGGCTCAAGTGGGAGAGTACTAGCCTTGAGCTGAAGAGCTGAGGGACAGCGCCCAGGCCCAGAGTTTAGGCCCCACGACCAGACCCCCCCCCCAAAAAATACTTTAATATACATTTATATATGCATTTAATTATGTAACATATAACTATTACTCTCATTATTTGAATTCTTTAGTTCCTAGCATTAATATACATTGTTTTCATTTAGTATTATTAGATTGTTTTGATTATGCTTAAATTGAGGGGGACACATGACTAATAGTTTGCATTTAGTGTCTTACAAGTCTTAAGGAGCCTAGGATTTGGGGGTAATTTGCTCAGCAATTCTAAAATTAGAATTGTAATAAGATGACTGAAATACTTCATTTTGTGTTTACAGTGTAAGTAGCGCATTCCTTAAATTTCTAGCCTAAACACTTTTGTTTATTTTTATTTATTTATTTATTTATGCCAGTCCTGGGGCTTGAGCTCTAGGCTTGGGTTATATTCCTGAGCTCCTTTTCCTCAAGGCTAATGCACTTGAGCCATAGCACCACCTCTGTTTTTTTCTGTGATTTCTTGGAGATAAGAGTCTTATGGACTTTACTGCCTAGACTGGCTTAGAACCGTGATCCTCAGGTCTCAGCCTTCTGAGTAGGTAGGATTACAGGCATTAGCCCAGCTCTAAACACTTAGAGGTGGGCTGAAAAATAGTTTTTTGCAGTGTGTTTGTGTGAGAGGTGTTCAATAAGTGCTTACTTGATTGACTTTCTATGTGTGTGTCTATGCTGGTAATGAGGCTTCAGCTCAGGGCTTGGGCACTGACCCTTAACTTTTTTGCTCAAGGCTGCCATTCTAGCACTACCACTTGAGCCACAGAACCACTATTACCAAATTTCAGCCTTCTAAGTAGCTATGATTACAGGCATGAGCCATCAGCATCTGGCTTTTTTTTTTATTTTTATTTTATTTTTTTGGTCCGGTCATGGGGCCTGAACTCTGTGCCTTGGCGCTGTCCCTCAGCTCTTCAGCTCAAGGCTAGCGCTCTACCACTTGAGCCACAGTGCCACTTCTGGCTTTTTTTCTTTTTGCTTATATGATGCTGAGGAATCGAACCCAGGGCCTCAGTGATGCAAGGCAAGCGCTCTACCACTGAGCCACCTTCCCAGCCCTCAGCATCTGGCTTTTAAAAAAAAATACAGAAATATAACAACTTTGTTTCGTTTGAAACCTGAAATTCCACAGAAGTTCAGTGTGTGGGGTTTAGAGGCTTAGAGAGGACTATTTGGATTGTTTTTTTATTTATTTTGTATATGTTGCTGTGTGTAGTTTTATGGGCATTTATTAAGTTAGTCATGTAGCCCCAAAAGATTTTTTATTTCCCTTTTCTCCTTCACTCCTTCGTTCCTGAGATCACACTCAGGAAATCCCGTAGTCTCATGAATGTTTAAGGGCTAAATTTGTACTGTATCACTGAGCTCTACTTTTAGGCCCAAAAGAATTTTCCTTTTTTTACCTCTTTCTCCATGAACAAACTTTTTGTTTTATTGTTATCTGGTCTTAAGATTTATAAAACCTTAGTTCATACATGCCCAAATTTTTTCCTTTTGAAATTAAAGCATCATTGAAGCTTTTGGGGACTTGGTTTACTCTGATTAATGATATTCTTTTATTTATTTATTTGTTTTTGTCGGTCGCGGGGCTTGAACTCTGGGCCTGGGTGCTATCCCTCAGCTCTTCAGCTCAAGGCGAGCGCTCTACCACTTGAGCTATAGCGCCACTTCCTGTTTTCTGGTGGTTTATTGGAGATAGGAGTCTCACTGTCTCTCCTGCCCGGGCTGGCTTTGAACCGTGATCCTCAGATCTCAGCCTCCTGAGTAGCTAGGATTACAGTTGTGAGCCACCAGCGCCCGGCTCAATGATATTCTTTTAATAGATCTATGACAGTTAGTTCAGGGTGATTTACGCTAATCTTATGTTTTTCTGACTTAGTTCCTTTTTATGATTAACAAAATTCGGGTTACTAGTACTTGGGATATAAGTTGGTTTTATAAGGGAAGCATGCAGTTGAAAAGCTAGGTATACTTGCCTGCCAACGCATTATTATAATAATGTATTTCAGAATAACTGTATAGAATACATTGAGGATGACGAGGAGCAGGTGGATGTTGAGACCATAGACGAGCTCACAGTGGAAATTGATGTTGCCAACAAGAAGACAACAGCAGTGCACACACAGTCATTCAAACAGCCGTAAGTCTTCCTTATCTTGAGATTGTTGTTACTATTGTTGTTTGTAAGTGTAAGCAAAACAAATTTCTGGGTGACTGATCTGGTTTTTTTTATTCCTTTCTTTTTTTCTGATTAGTATAGATGAGAAGAACTGAAATTAGAAAGTAACTTGTCTTGGTCATTGTTAGCATTTTATAAATATTAACATGCTTTTTGAAGACTGATAACACTGGTGTTAAAATACTAGTTTTGCTACTTCGGACAATTCTAAACTCCAGGTGCTTTTCCTATGAGGAAAGATCATTTCCTTTTAAAATATTAGGTGAAATAATAAAATACAGAATAACTGACAGTAGGCTTAGTCACCATAAGGTTGTTTTTGTGCATTTACTGGAGCTTGAACTCAGGGTGTGGACCTGGGCTTACAGACCTGAGCCATTAGTGTCTTGCCTGCCATCAACAAAGTGAGTGTGTGTGTGTGTGTGTGTGTGTGTGTGTGTGTGTGTGTGTGTGTGTGTGTGTG